TTATGAAACACACTGATATGTATGATGTATGTGCCAAATACAAATAAAAATGGTGCATAAATTGTGGAAATATAGTAGTAAGGCCAAAAAAGTCAGATGGCTGTCAATCGGCCATCCTTGACCAGATTTTGAAACATTGTCATGGACATGCATCCTAACATGTATAAAGTACATGTATGTGTCAAATTTGAATGAAAACTGACAGAGCACATCCAAGATACTGCATAAAAAAACAAAAAACAAGATGCCTGCCAGTCGACCATCTTTGATCAAATTGCGAAATAAATCGTCATGGACATGTATCCTAACATGTATAATCTATGTACCAGGTTTGAATGACAACTGACAAAGCATGTCCAAAATACAACATTTTCAAAAAACAAGATGGCTGCTAGTCGTCCATTTTGAATCAAATTGCTAAACCACTGCATGTGCATATGTCCCACATAAAGTACTAGGCACATGCAAATAATGAACGGAATCGGTCCACAGGATTCTGAAATATGACTCTGGACAGACTGACGTACGGACGGACAGACAGACTCAGGAACTCACGGACGGTCGGGACATGTATCCTAACATGTATGATCTATGTACTAAATTTGAATGAAAACTGACAAAGCATGTCCAAAATACAACATTTTCAAAAAACAAGATGGCTGCTAGTTGGCCATTTTGAATCGAATTGCTAAACCACTCCATGTGCATATGTCCCACATAAAGTACTAGGCACATGCAAAGAATGAACAGAATCGGTCCAAGGGATTCTGAGATATGACTACGGACGAACGCACAGACGGAGACCGAATTACACGTCCCCGTTTTCAGACTTCGACCGAACGGGGACTAATTATGCAGACTTTGTATTATTTACATTTAGTCCCTTTTAATTATAATCAACAGATTTTTAGGTCTAACATGGCTGTCAATTACTGGATAGTTAAATTTAAATCATGAAACAACTAGACATGTATAAGACAAGACATGTCAAACATCTAATCCCGAAACAACTTGATGCGTATATGTATACCCAATATGACAAGTGTTTGACGTATTTCGATGCAGCATGCACACACCAAATTACACTCAAATTACAAGTTACACATTCTGTAATCTTACCTGAAAAATGAAACTCAAAAATCCTTGATGCCACTAGCAATATCATTTATTCAAAAACAACAATTTGCATAAATAGACAATCTATCTTTGTGCATGCATACTAACAGGGTTCTCCATGTATATCTATGACTTGTATGACGTGAAGTGCATAATATACAAATGCAACATACAATGGTGTAAATGCCAGTATATATTCATGTACTGAACACTGGGAAACAACACATCTTGTAAACATGTCAGCCTGACTTCTTTATATGCCCTCTACAAAATAAAACATCACAATAAACATTTTATATATTTGCAAAAGAATTGATTTTAAAATAAGTAGCAAACAGGAAATGATGGCCATTTGGTTCAAAATTAACAAAGAATTCAAGAAAAATACATAACACAGTCCCTCATCAGTTTAAATTTAAAAGTATATTGAAGAGCATGTGCAGATTCTTTGCATGGCCCATGATATAGATTTACGCAAGGTGAATGCAGTCACTTAAAATGTGGCACAGATTAAAGGCTTTTGCAAATTGTTTAGTTATGTACCAAATTTGAAAAAAATCAATCAATGAATTACTGAAATTCAGTAAAGGCTTGATTTTTTATTACCATGACTACAATATCTTAAATCAGAATTTAAAATAAATAATTGTCAGTGCGTGGCATGATGAATGCAATCAGAGCAAGCATGCAAGAGATATGGCCATGAAACTGCATTCGTCAAAAAGGCCACTGGTCGGCCATTTTAAATCAAACACGCAAAACAAAATGATGTGCATCAAGATCCCATGTTGTCAAATAATCAAGACCCAGTACTAGCATGGATGAAAATGATTTTGATGCATTTTTGGATGTATAACGGCCGCCAGCTGACCATCTTGAATTGGCTTGTGAAATAAGTATCATGCATATGCATGACATAATGTATGATGTATGGGTATGTGAAATTTATACTTCATTGCCAATGTCAGATATATGGATCTGGAAGCATATTAATTAAAACAAAATGGCCGCCAGCTCTGCAAAACAAAATGACATACATCAAGGTCGCAAGTTGTCCTGTCCAAAATGGCAGAAATGATGAATTTTGATGCATTTTTTAAATGCTAAAATGGCTGCCATTTGGCCATCTTGAATGAAAGCATATAACAAATGAACAAGCATTATGTATTCAAACATGTATTGTGTATGTGTGACCCTGATCAGTCCAGGATACAGATATAGACAGATGTGTTCACAGAGGTGAATCTGTAAGTTCCCGTTTTAGTCATCATACATAAAATTATGACAGCCAAAATTCTAAAGATATTTGATGAAAGTGACCCTGAATAATATGATCGCTGCTTTGAATATATAGTGTCTGTTTAAGAATATAGACTATTATATATCAATATATACAGAATATTTATCTGATGCTATTCATACAATTAATTACTATATTTTGTTATTTGAATACCAGCATGTCTTAATGTGGCACAAAATATAACTTACTCTGAGGATTGGTTGTTTGTGGCGCTGTTGTAAGATACGAAAACACATGGTGAAATACGAAGCGTTCCTTTCGCTTTCCTATATGCAACTCATATTGAACGTAATCGAAAAACAAATAATGTTTTCCCGTAGACTTGCAACTCCTCATTCAATAAGTCACTGAGCTCACGAATACAACAAAAATGGGAGGGGGGAGGGGTTATAACCAGTTTGCCTCAGTTTTTCACAACTTGAATAGCAATATGTTTTCAACCAGAGATATTTTACAAAAATATGATACAAAGATACAATTAATTATATTTTAATTATAATTGACTTTGTGTATGGAAGAGGAGAACAAAGTAACATGGCTATCCAGAATTAACATGTTCAGTAGAAAAACTGGAGTACACAAATATTTGATTAAAACTGTACATTCCTGCTGAATTCCCATTAGTCAATGTTGATCAACCTCTCCCCCTTCATCCACATGGTTGCTAAGTAACCGGAGTACCAGACACTTGTCTATTTTTGATGATTAGTGTAAACCACTTAATTTTTACTGAGTTCAGGAAAATTGCAGAAATTTTGAAATCCTTATTATACAGCTTATATTTTGTAGGATGTGTCTATTGCATGAATTTGACAAATAATTTTATAGTGCAAAATTGGAGTTATGCAATTGAACACCACCTTCCTCTTTTTCTTTTCTTGACTACTGCAACAAAGGATTTATTAGGTAAAGGTGTGACAGGTGATGAAGATGGTTTCTTATAAAACACACATTTCTCAAAATTGTAAATGCAAATGAGTGACAGAAATATTTACTATTTGCGTCTGGCTGATTTGGCTAGTATCCTTGAAAATTCAAAGAGTGTATATTATATGATTTTTTCCACCTTCAATAGGTCAATACTCCCCCAATAAGTCAATAACATTGCTGCCTTTAACAGATCAATAACATTGCTGCCTTTAACAAATCAATAACCTTGCTGCCTTTAACAGATCAATAACCTTGCTGCCTTTAATAGGTCAATAACCTTACTGCCTTTAAGGTAGAGATGCAGTTTACCTGACAGGTATTTTAATTAGTTAATTAGGAAACCAAGATGACCTCCCTTGTCCACAAAACTATATATTTTCAGAAAGCTTATTGTATGAATTTTAAAATTTTGTAAGTATTTTTTTTTTATGGACACTGTAGTTTGAAATATGCACAAAAATGTGCTTTTTTGGTCAAAAGTGATTTAAAAAAAATTAGCTTCTAAACCATGCTTCTGTTTCCTGTCAAAATTGGTTAACGGGTACACATTTTTACTATGAAGTAAATGCTGTCTTGAAAACTGTCTACTAGTTGTCAATTTTGCAGGGCAGCAGCTCAAATTTTACTACTTCAAGTTTATGCATAAATTAACACCTAGGCTAGTTGTCTGAATGATTGTTGTAACACTATTCAACAAGAAACAATGCTCCCACAGCGTTTTGAAGATAAACACATTGTCAATCATTTGTGAAAATTTCAAAACAAAAGGTCAAAGCGTCAAGGAGCTATTTTTTTTTAAAGTTCTGGGATGTGTACTAAAAAGAAGCTAAGATAATTGCTAATTTGCATAACAATTCACTCAGTAAGAAGTTTGCTAATGCTCATAATTAAAATGGCTGTAAAAGTTCCAAATTTAAATGTATCATCGTTTTGTAAAAAGTTAAATATAGTGCATAATATGGAGATTCCGTCATTTCTCTTTTTCACCATGTTTCTTTTTTATTATTTATGTACAGCCTTGCTAAATCTTGCTAAGCATTCAAAAGAGAGAATGTTTGCACCTGTTTTCTATATTTTAAAATCGTTTTTTGAGTATGTTCCACTATTCAAAATTCTACAAAATTTTAACAGTCTATAGCCAACCATTTTTAAATAAAAAGCAAAAAAAAAAATGTCACTCCCAAGTGCCCACAAACCTGCATCTCTACCTTAATAGGTTAATACTCTCTTCCATTTCTGTTTCCCAATCAAATCTTTCCAAGCATTCATGACATTCTCTGAGATGCATACAATTTTTTCAATGGCGAGAAACCAACATTTTGCTTATATATATATATATAATCTAAATCTTAAAAAATAAACTAGGTGAAACACATACACAATTTGTAGCTTCTACAGCATTCAGCCAACATCAAGCGAGATCTTGAGAGCCACACAGCTTTCTCAACAATTGCACATGGACCACCTAGAATTCATATAATAATATGAGTTGTGCTCCTAATAGAGTTTATAAATTTAGTTCTTTACAAACTTTTACGAGTAAAATATAAAACAATCTATGGAATGGAAAATAAAAATACATTAAATTGATACTGGACGATTATTCTTTCATCTAAAACAACTCAAATTTAAATACTGTAACAGTTGTTGTTGACTATGTATTTCCTGCAGTCACTATACTAATACCTTCTAGTTGTTGTAAAGTTGTGTTTTCAATACTTGCTTCTTGTTGACATGTATCAGTCCTCTCAAATCTCACATCAATCTTGCGACTTTCAAGTTGCTCATTTACTTTTTCGACTTCTTCTTCTTCGTTATCACCACGTGAGCAACATTCCTCCCTTGCTTCATCCATTACAAATTCAAATTTGAATTCTGCATCTGCAGGTTTGAAAACCACTTTGCCATCATTGTGACTCTCCCCATTTGTTGCTATGACAACAGTCTCTTCATCTTTTTTCTCCTCACCAAGATCTTTGAAGCAAGGGGTGACTGGATTTATTGATTTCTGTTGTGATGATGCTTTCTTGAAAAACTGTCCTTTTTTTTCTACTTCCTCTCCAGCAGGAAAGACTGAAGCATTTTTCATCGCTGAAAGAAGTCAAATATTATGCACAAGAAATTATTTAACTTGTGAGATGAAACAGTGAAATGCATTGAAAGACGTACATGTAGTATGTTCTATGCCCAACCACCAGATGAACTCACCAGTGAATGCAATAGAATTTCGAACTATGTAAGTTTCAATATATTGAGACAACCCAGTGTCAGTTACAACCAAGTCACCTATGCTTAATAATCACCAGGTTAATTCACCACTGAATTCAACAGT